AGTTATTTCTTTCAAGTACTTTATAGATCTCCGGTTTTCAGACAAAAATAATGTGTTTTTTTATGACCRTCAAATAATTTTTGCTGAAGTCTACATTCTGCTGAAGAAAATAAACAGGAATAATTCATAGACTTGATTTTTATCTGATAAAGGATGACAGAGCAATATATTACCACACTGTTGCTGCTATTATCACATTTAATGTGATASTGTTTCTGCTGGCATCTGTGTGTGTTTGTTTAACAAATTATTTCCTAAACAACTGGACAGATTTTAATGAAACTCAAAAAGTCTTATCCCAGCACATCGTTTTGAACATTTGCTGAACTGTCAGTTTTACACGATTCAGCTCTGTTACATAAATTCACATGTTACATGAACGTTACTCAAACGTGGACATACATTATAACCTAGCTGAGAAATTATGAAATGGACACGTAACTTCTATCAGAACATGTGGGCGTGTCCCTCGATGATTGACTGACAGCTGTCAGCCTGTTGGGGAAGTAGTACAAGAGCTGAGTCTCATGAAAAAAACAATATATTATTCGTCAAACTGAATTAAAAAATTATATATATATAAAAGAGCTGAGAGCAAACCGACGCTGGCAGATCTTTTTTATTCAGCTGTCGAAGGAAATTATGAACCTTCAGAAGATTTCTTATCCACACGAGAGGACAGGGTGCGGCTCACGCAGGTGGTGAACAACAGTGGAGAGAGGGGAGACAAGTCTAGTGTTCCTTAAAACAGATACCTGGGCYGGAGCAACAACATCTGCCAACAGCTGGGCACTTATCTGGGGACAAATAGGACGATTGTTATGGCACAAGTTGATCAGCTGCCTCTCAAAGCATGCAGCTTGGATTTCCACAGCATGCGGCTCCGCTCAGCTGCACACTTCACAGTCAGTCATGCATACTTGAAAGTTGCTTTGCTTTTGGGAATTAAACATTATTAACAATAAAACTTGAATCTTTGACCTGGATTAAAATAATAGTGTAATTATTTTTTTAAAAGTCCCAACTACAATGTTTTTTTTTCCCGTCAAAATGTCAGGTTGAGATAGTGGGATCATACTGTAAATATTTTTTATAGAAAAATTTAAAAAGTAAAATCTGACAGGATTACAAGATTCGATTCTGGTGCTATGAGCTAAACTTGATTACAGTTGGAACTTTACTGTGACATTACTGTAGATCCATGCATTTATTGATAAAATATGAAAAATAAATAGCTTTTTTGGCATTGATTCTTCAAAATTTTCACAAGTTGTCCAAAATGTCATCTAACTTATGCATCTTACACCAGCTCGTTGGACAAAAGCTGCACAAGTTGGCAGAAGTGTGACAAGGACCCAAGGTTTGCTGATTCAGCACACAGTTAATTTTTTGTAAGTTTACATTAAGTTTTTTTGTTTGTTTTAATTTTGCAGATACCTTCTGATTGAGAATTTTATACCCCCTGAGGAAAAGAACAAGATAATGAACAGGTTACAGTTTGACGGTGAGGAGGATCAGTGGAGGCTCCAGCCTGTGATTCCATCAGAGAGGTCAGGAAATCCATTTTACATTAACTTCTTGTGCAAACTGTGAGACAACACATGGCCATGAGTTAATAAGGMATGGCCACGTGTTAGCTAATATGTGGCCACAAGATAATAATTTATAATTAGGTTTTYTTTGGTGAATATTTAATCCAAAGAGTATACCTCTATTGTTCAATCTAAATTGTTCATTTTTCATAGCCTACTAGTATTTACATAACTATTTTTTTACTGTGTTCCTGAACGTGACATAACTCTGACTCCTTCCACAGCAAAAGGCACAGAGTGAGAGAGGAGCCTGTTTTGATTGTTGAGCTTCAAAATATGAAAATAAAGCTTTTTGGGCAAAGATAACTTCAGTCGTCACGTGTCTTATAGCTGCAACATAAAATGCTAAGAATTACTTCATGCCTGTCACAAGTGACTGAAGTATGCCSTTCATTTCTATACTGAAATGAGATTAGATTACGGTAAGTCAGACTTGTCCATGTAAACAATCAGTCTCTGCATGGATGCTATAATTATCTTGTGGCCACGTATTAATTTTTCTTTATCTAATGTCACCGGAAAGGCTCCATAGAATCCAAACTAACTCTCTACAATGTTTTTCCTTCAGTACACACATGAGAGTGAAGAGAAGACCTGTTTCTGCTGTGGGATATAAGAGGCCAATCAGCCAGTATGCACAGATGGCTGTTGCTACTGCTACTGAGGCCCCACTGAGATATCAGGTCAGTCCTCTTTTCATTTTCAAGTTCATGGCAGCCCTGTTTGCTGGAGACTTTTATTTATATATATAT